TTTGTCTAAGGATATAGCATGCCTTATAAAATATCTTATTAATATGTTGCAGATAAACCAGAAAGAAAAAGAAAAATGGGTAAAAGTGACTTTATGAAGCCTGTAGCTGTAGGAATCTTCAAGGGTCAAATAGTCAAAGCCAACATCAGGAAAGGATTGCCTGAAACCCAAGTAGACATCTGGAGTTAACATAGGTACTGTCTCACTCAAAAGTGTAAGGACATGCACTCCCCACTTTAGCCACAGGTGCACCACAGACTGTTGAATTCAATTTATTTGTTTCTTTCCTGTAGGGAACTGGATGCACAATTCTTAGAATGTTAGCAGTGTATTATTACTCCCCCATATACACACACTAACGTGCAAGCTGCACAGGAGCACAGATTTCACTCAGGCTTGTTCAATGCTGTACTTGAGCAACTAAGACATTGTCAGATGGTCAATACATACTTATTAAATGAATGAACTAAAAATAGGGGGCAATATCCTACCTTTAAAAATGAATTTCCAGTGGTTGAACTTCTAGCATTATAGACAAGGTCCTTATAATACAACCCCAAGGCTGCTAAATTATGAAAAATTTTATCCTAATGAATATATCATACTGTCTATACCACTTATAACTGCACCTCTTATCTGCTTATTTGTCAAGTAAAATAATGCCATACATTTTATAAAAGTGTGCTAGAATGTTAATATTTCTATAAAGCGTAGATATTAAATTATTCATACTAGGACAGTAATATTATCTGAAGGTTAGGATATTTAGGCCAAGAAATATATAACAATAATTTTTTAAAGCTTAAAATTAGAGTATAATGAATCAATTCCTTTGCTTGAAATAACAAATAGATGACACGTAGAAGAGCTGGGTTAAAGAAATTGAATACCTATGAATATGACCAGTACTTTTGCCTGGGGAAATTTAACTGGTAAAATTATATCAAAGATTCAGAATTTTATCATTATAAAGAGCAGTAGCAATTATTTAGTTTAATGCACATCCTTTTTAGTTATGTCTTATTTTGGTTTTTTGTTTATGTTTTTGTTTATTTTTACTCTCATATTTCCCCAGGGAATGGTTCTCATTGAGCTATGAATTACAGTAAACTGCCTCTTGGTCACTGGGATAGCCACATAACCCAGTCTTTGCCAACCACACTCATTAATATGAATGCTGAGGAAGAGAGAGTGTCCACAAAATACAGTATCAGTTTGTTGAATACTTCAGGATAGCTTTGTACAATAGTTGCAGGAACTAATAAAATACCTTCTTTGTGTAAGTTAACATTAGGTGATTTTCTGTCTTGTGTAACTAAAACAATGCTGATTAATGGGCAATATTAATACCTTAATTCTATAGAAGACAATTATACTGAAGAAAATTACCTCATACCACTCTACCCTTTAGTAAGCAATTCAAGAATTGCCAGATAGCTTTATATGCAGTCTCCCTTCTTTAAACTTGTCTTTTAAACTTCCGTGACTTTTCTTGCCTCTGCTATTTCTTCTTCTTCGTGAAAATATCTACTTTTGTATTATTTATGTGTTGGGATATTGATACTACTGGGTATTTCTGCTTAAGCACAACTTCTGTCAGTTCTGCAACTTCAAAACTACTTAGTGGATTCAGTAGCAGCAAATGTCTTCAACCATCTGTTTGCAGTTTATTACAGAAATTGGATTAATTTGCCTTAGGGGTTTCATAAATGAGATCCAGAAAACCCTAGATGTCCTCTCCATTTAGAGCTTTATACCAAGTCTCTCTTCTCATGTATCTTCTCTTTTCAGTTAGAACAAAAGGTAGAGGAAGCCCATAGCCATCACCAACTATGACTTTATAACTATTCTAATTCTCTTCTAATTTTTCCACTTTATTTTAACATTAACAAATTTTAAAGAAAACAATGTACTGATTACTTTTAGTCAAGTGTAATAGAGACTTCCACTGGCCAATAAAAGCAATTACCCCTTTTATAGTGTACAGCCCTAATTGAGAAGCAGCAGCCTAAATAAGTCTATATTTGCTTGGTTGTGTGTGTGTGTTTTAATCCTCATCTGAGGATTTTTTTTTCATTGATTGTTTAGAGAAGCGGAAGGGGAGGGGAGAGAGAAACATTGATGTGAGAGAGACACATCAATTGGTTGCCTCCTGAATGTGCCCTGACCAGGGCAGGATTGAACCTGCAACAGAGGTGCATGCCCTTGACCAGGAATCAAACCGGAGACTCTCAGCCAGGGATGAATATGTCTATATTTGTATGCAAACATCTAGGTGTGACCATTTGACTAATTGTCATCAATGGAATTCAAGTGAAAAAATGAGGGCCACTTCTACATCAAGCCTTTGAAAAAAGAAATGTACCTCTTTCTTTTCTTTTTTCCTCTTTCCATTGACTGGATATTTAAAATAATGAGACCTAATAGCTGTACTGTCTGATACAGTAGCCATTAGCCATATGTGGCTATTTAAATCTAAAATGACTAAATTAAATATAAGTTCCCCATTCATATTAGCTGCATTTCAAAAGTTTAATAAATGCATTCTCATCATTGCAGAACATGCTATTAAATAGCACTGACTCAGATAATGGTGGAGACACAAAATGGAAAGAGCCTTGTTCATTGACTCTTAGTGAGAAGAGCCACCTAGCCACTGGACACTTTGAGAGTGTGAAATAAACCTCGAGTTTGGTCAGGTATGCATTTACATATTTAGGGTACATATTACATAGTATTTTGTCTTATTCTAATTATTAACCTTGATGGCTATTTTAAAAACCCTTTGAACATATTTTTATACCTTTAGAAGAGCCCCTATATACTTTTGCATTTTGTTTGATGGATTTTTTTTTTACATTCAAAATCAAAACAAAATAGACCATGTATTTTAAAGCAGAAGGGTTTAAGAAGTAGCATAACTAAGAAAATAGTCTAAAAGAAATATGGCAATGCATTCACAGTTTAGGAGCAATGATAAATAGTCTAAAAGAAATATGGCAATGCATTCACAGTTTAGGAGCAATGATAACATTTCAGGTTTCTGCTAACTCCTACTTACTTTAGAAGATAAAATCATTATAAGCACAAGGCCATGAAGAGCATGGTCTTTGGGATCAGAATCTTTGGGTTTGACTATTGCTCCTGCTACTTGATGTTCATAATGTTTGTAGTTTTTTGAGTATCTATAAAGAACAATTGAGAGAGTCAGAGGAATCAGACAAGTGTAGATCAATATATCAGCTTAATTACTGATAAAAGGTGCTTTGGAGAATATGGATTAAATGTGTGCCACTAATGAGCTTCAAGGTACTCCTGACCACACCAGTGTAGACCTTGGCATAGTCCACTCAAGGGAAATTTTGAGTGTTCATGGAGGACTCACTCAGGACTTTTGTTTCTCACTATGGGAGGAAATTGTAAAACGGCAGAGTGTAAATTCCCCAAATTTAGAAATTTTGATTGATTAGCATCACCCACTTTATAAATTCAAACTAAGGTCTACCTTTTACTACTTGATAATCCATTTCTCCACTGTGTAGAGGCAAAAAAGCAGAGCAGAAGGTCAGAAGGGTAGGATATAGGGAAACTATCTCCTCAAGAAAATCAGGGAAAAGAGCGAGGTTTTGGTATTGTGAATCTGTGCCTTTCTATGGAAAATGGATATGGTAATAACACTTGGGATTGCCATGAGTATTAAATGAGATAATTTGTGTAAAGTATTAAATATAATGCCTTATAAATAGAAACTTTGTACTAATTGTATTATTAGTAATAATAGCAGTTATGCTATTATGTTTCTTTCTGTTGCCTGAACTTTCATAATTGGTGTTTAATTTTTTAGTAGGTTTATAGGAAAAGTTGATATTTTATTTAGTCATAAATACCTAATTTTTGTATGAAACAAAGGTGCTTTTGTTTTTTAATGAAGTCATTTGGAAAGAGAACTATGCTAGATTTCTAAAGGAGGGCAATAACTAAAAAAAGTTTTACGGACACTCTAGGAAATTTAATCATTACTTGTGGGAAACTGATATAGGGTTGAGCCTTGGACTGACCTTCTGGCAAAGTTACAAACAAGTCCTAGCTTAGAGGGCACAGTCCTCTTAGCATAATAGGCTTGACCTTATAACACTCCCTAGATCTTATCTGGGAAGCTAATCGGCTGAGGAAGTGCAGGAAGTGTAACCATGGTCAAAACAAGTGAAACTCACAAGAACTGTGTAACTATGGTAACCACTACCTTGTTTACCTCTCACTATAAAAAGCTTGGTGAGGCCTGAGCACAGGGGAAGTCCTTCCTCTTGAGTTGGACTTACCCACCTGGTCCCCCAATATTTCCAAATTATCTCTTGTCTTTTCTCTTTCATTTGTGTGCGGCCCCTCTTCCAGACCCGAACCCTGAACCATGCAGGACGTGGAGGGAAACACTTATGACAATTACTTTCTTTACAAATTTGTCTGGATCCCAGCTAACACTTAAATAATTGCTTACAAATATCTGAGAGGAAAATTATATATTTCAATCAAAAAAGAAAAGTGTTAATTCTTTAAAATAAAAAATATATAATAAGCATGTATTCTTATAATTAGCATTTACAAGTGGAAAATATTAGGGAACATTGAGATTTAACAGGACTGAAATAATCCATCTGCTCAGTTTTACTGATCTATTAAATAATTTTTTAATATGAGTACATGACAGTATACTATGGGACTGTTAGGAATAATAGGTGAGCTCAACATTAATTCTGCATTCAAGAACTTATAGACTGGCTGGCCGGTGTGGCTCAATGGTTGAGTATCAACCCATGAACCAAGGGGCCACTGACTCGATTCTAGGTCAGGGCACATGTCTGGGTTGTGGGCTCTATCCCTAGTAGGGGGTGTGCAGGAGGCAGCCATTCAATGATGTTTCTCTCTCATTGATGTTTCTTTCTCTGTTACTCTTCCTTCTTCTCTCTAAAATCAATAAAAAATATTTTAAAAATATATAGACTGTGCTCACTTTGGCAGCATATATACTAAAATTGGAATGATACAGAGAATAGCATGGCCCCTGCACAAGGATGACATTCAAATGCATGAAGTATTCCATATTTTATGTATATATTAATATATGGAATATGTGTCTAAATATTATAATTTTGTGCAGAAAGTAAGTCTGAATAACAAGTTAAATTAGTGCTTTGAGAAGAAAACTATTTTCAGATGTAGAGTTCATAGTAAGTATTATTTTCAGCTATGGGGTGCTTATTTGAGGAAGCAAAGTACCAATGAAAGCTTGATGAAAGGAGATGGCATATGGACTAGAAGACTTTTGGACAAAAGTCATGGCGGCAGGGTGTTCCATGCTGATGAAACAGGTGGTGCAATTATGAAAACCAGACTGTTTCCATTAAGATGAATTGCGGATACAAGAAGTCAGAAGCAGTACATGAATTTGTAATAAAAATAAATTATTTGCCATATAATTTATAGTCTTATTTATTAAAATTATTAAGAAAATAGCTGAAACTCATGTTAATAGATGTAGATAAACTTTTAAAACTAAAATGTTTAGGATTGACTTGAATTTTAATTGGTTTAAAAGCAAAGAAAATATCCAAATGGTTCAGATGTGGTTTCTGAAGAAGTGTTATATGTTAATAGTGAGCTAGGTTAAATGTCATTACCTCTTTGTAGACATATTGAAATTAAAGTTAGTTTCAAAAAGGAGGGAAACTTGCAGTGAAGATCATATGGAAATGAGAGATATATCTCCATCTCTTTCACATGAGCATATAGTATATTAAAAACTAAGTTGAAAAATAGTAAATTATATTGCTAAGTTTAACATAAAGATGGGTACTGTATTCAGTTTCAAGCACAAATCTTAAAAAGCATATGAATACTTCAAGAAAATTTATAACTAGTGAAAATTTATAAATAGATCTCCAAGTTGTATTATTTTATATTGGATAGATAAAATAGACAACATTATAGGCAGGTAAATATACACACACACATATACACACATTCATACAAGCAACATAGCAAGATATTTATGCATGGGGATATTTAAATTGTAAACAATTATATTTCTATTTCTTTGTTCTTCTTCTCTAAAGAAACAATATCTACATGTAAAAATCCTATCTAATAAAGAGGGAATATGCTAATTGACCCTCACACCATCACAAAGATGGTGGCACCCACAGCCAATTAGGAGGGAATATGCTAATTGACTGCCCCTTCTTCAAAGATGGCAGTGCCCACAGCCAATAAGGAGGGAATATGCTAATTGACTGCCCCTCCCTCAAAGATGGCAGGGCCCACAGCCAATAAGGAGGGAATATGCTAATTGACTGTCATGCCCTCAAAGATGGTGGCACCCACAGCCACAAGATGGCAGCACCCAGTCCCCTCAGGCCCCCAGCCGCCCAGTGCTCCCGAGGCTCAGGTAACCAGGGCCGGCTGAGGCTTGCACTGCTGGCAGTGGCAGCAGCAGAGGTGTGATGGGGCATCGCCTTCCCCTGATCACTGGGTTACCTCCCACACCTGAGGGCTCCCAGACTATGAGAGGGGCCAGGCTGGGCTGAGGGACCCCCCTCCAGTGCATGAATTTTCATGCACCAAGCCTCTAGTATTACAGTAAGTTTCAGTATTTCCACTGTATTTCAACTTTTTATAATTTGTATGTTGTTAAGTTTTATCTGTGATATTGACCCATATATAAAAGTTAGCAATAAAGAAATGTCAATGTTTCTTCACTGAGCTGCACATATACTGAAATTGAATAGTAAACAATAAATTCTATTGTGCAAAATAAAAGATATACAAGCAGAATAGGTGAAAACACACATTTTGTTAATGTCCCTTCTATAGGGATTTTGAAAAAAAAACTTCTTAGTCATTGTACCGTAATAATGTATTATGTTTTTTTTTTTTTAAATCTAAGTTTAAAGAGTTGTGAAAGATAAGGTATGGCATATTACATACACTGACATTTTAAAATAAAATTGTTATATCTGTCTGAAAATATTTCATATCACCCAAATACCATAAAGATCTGTACAACCACACCGTTGTGAAAAACAATGTATCAATAAAGCTCTTATTTCACAATCAGAAACTTTGTGTTGTTTTCTCCTTGAAATCATATTAACATTGCACTCCTTCCACAAAATCTTAGGATAATATGAGATATTTTATGTTTAAAACTTTCACTAATCACACTAGCGTGTTTCTGTAATAAAATGTTTACCTAAATTGACATCATTTTTATAAATATCCTCTTATAACAAATCTCTAAATGCTAAATTTTCTTGTTTTATTACCAATTATAAATATTAGTAGTAATTAATTAATCAAAGCATTGGCATCATATTTTATAAATTTTGAAGAATTCAATTTACCTAAAGTGTAAAAAGTTATCAAAAGTATATTCCTAAATGTTTTTTGCTTCCTCATTTGGTTTATATACCTGTATATGGATATTACTTATTGCTGGCATAGTCAAAACATGACACCAATTCGATTTATTTTTATCATTTTAAAGATGTCAGTGCTGAGTAACTTCTTCATGAACATAAATAGATAATAATTGAGTTTTGCTATAGGAAATGTCTCAAGTCTTTGTACTCTGAGTTCTCTGGTAACTAGATTAGGGCATCTTTGTTGAAAGCAAAGAACTGAAAATCACCTGAATCAAAAAACAAGTGGATATCTAGTCATTAGTAATAGTAATTTTCTTAACATTGACAGCAATATTGTAACTTTTTACATTGTTAAACCTATAGGTATTTACACCACTAGACAACCCTAACATAACGAGTGTTATGGAAACCTTTTTTCTATAAAATGGGAGAACGGTGAAAGAGAAGGAGAATTGGGGAACCAAGATGATGCTTTGACCCTGATACTCATTCTCATTAACACAAATGAATTTTAGGGAAGAATATACATGGTAGTTGACGGTGTGGAATTTGCTTCATTTAAAATTATCTATACCCGTATATCCATTTGAAAGTGCTGAGGTACTTCCTAGATACCATTTTTCTAATTATCTTTATTTCATTACCATTCTATTTTTAACTGTGATTTTTCCTCAACTATTTTTTTTTTTGGATGGCAATGGACATAATAGGAATGGGAGCAATAATGTTAGGTGTTGGAAGAGAAAAAATGGCGGCCAAAGAGGCAAACCTGTTGTGCATCTCCTCCTACTCTCAGAAGCACTGCATGCCAACTACACCCTGTATTTTGACTTTTTCAGAGGAAACAAAAGCAGAGGCCAATCCTATGGGTCTAAGCAGTCTCAGGAGGCCTCAGTGATTGGATTGGGAGGGGAGCTGTCCACCCCACTATCCTGGGAACCAGACTGGTACTTTCCCCACATGGGAGAGCTGATAAAAACTCGAGGTTTCCAGCCAACCCTATTGATCTCAATACAAGGATCTTTGTCAAGCCGAGGGCAGAGTAATATTTTAGACCACTTACTGAGTAGTAGCTCTAGGACAAGGAAACACACCCATCACATTCCCTGAAAGCTAAACAGCACCTCCTCTGCCTAAAGCACTTTCAGAAACAAACTTTTTAGCGATTAAGATTGACAGCTGGCTGGCAGGCAAAGGCAGGCATGGGTGGACCCTGGGGAACCAGGCGAAGTTTGCTGACCCAACCCTGGGCCCCATGTTGCTAACAAACCTACTTTAGAGGGCAGATTGGCCCCTCCTGCTTGCAGCCAAGACCTGTAGAGATAAACACAAGCAGTGGATCAGTGGATCCCTTGGAGCTTCAAGCAGGTTTCTGAAACTAATAACACTTCACTAATCATCTGAGAGATGCAAATTAAAATGACAATAAGGTATCACTTCATATCTGTCAGAATGTCTATCATCAACAAATAAACAACAAGTGTTGGTGAGGTTGTGGAGAAAAAGGAACCCTCATGCACTGCTGGTGGGAATTCAGACTGGTGCAGCCACTGTGGAGAACAGTATGGAGCTTCCTCAAAAAACTAAAAATGGAACTCCCATTTGACCCAGTGATCCCACTACTAGGAATATATCCCAAGAAATCAGAAACACCAATCAGAAAGTATATATGCACCCCATGTTTATAGCAGCACAATTTATAATTACTAAGATTTGGAAACAGCCCAAGTGAGCATCCGCAAATGAGTGGATAAAAAAGCTGTGGTACATTTACACAATGGAATACTACACAGCTGTGAAAAATAAAGAGCTGTTACTGTTTGTAACAGCATGGATGGACCTGGAGAGTATTATGCTACGTGAAGTAAGCCTATCAGAGAAAGATAAGTATGACATGATCTCACTCATATGTGGAATGTAATGAACAAAATAACCTCATGAATAAAATAGAACCAGAGACATAGAAGCATGGAACAAACTGACGAACTTCAGAGGGAAGGTGGGATTGGGGTGGTGGGAAGTGAGTGATTAACCAGGCAACTTATATGCATATATGCATAACCAATGGACACAGACAATAGTGTGGTGAAGGCCTGGGTATGGGGTGGAGAGGGTCAATGGGGGGGGGGGGAAAGAACACAAAGAATCACATGGACATGTGTAATACTTTCAACAATAAAGACAAATAAAAAAAAAGTAGGACAAAATTTTTCTGGCAAGAATAGGCAATCAAATGTATACAAACAATAATTTTATTGAGTGATATATTGGTTAGCTAATTATTTTAAAAAGGTCATTTTTCTAGCCCTACCTGGTTTGGCTCAATGGATAGAGCATTGGTCTGTGAACTGAGGGGTCCCAGGTTTGATTCCAGTCAAGGGCACATGCCTGGGTTGCAGTCTCGATCCCCAGTGGGGGGTGTGCAGGAGGTAGGCGATCAATAATTCTCTCTCATCATTGATGTTTCTATCTCTCTCCCTCTCCCTTCCTCTCTGAAATCAATGAAAATCTATTTTTTAAATGTTATTTTCTAGATTTTGAGACTTTTCCAGAGTTTGTAAGCTTTCTAATGTTTTGTTGTTATAGTGGTGGTTCATATTATAATTATAAATAAATAAGAGGCCCAGTGCATGAAATTCATGCATTGGGGGTGTCCCTCAGCCCAGCCTGCACCCTCTCCAATTTG